TTTCATCTAATGTTTTTCATTCTGAACAGTTATCCCACTGTTGAGTGGGCTTGAAGGGACACACGTAAATGAAAGGGGGGATTTACTATAAAAGCTTGTGAAAACTGATAGCAGAGGATGGACATCTATGGAACTCCCACAGAAAGTTCATTGCAATTACATCCAGCATTCTGAGTCATATTTTTTGAGAGCAACTAATAGTGACTGCTCTTCTTTCTAATTTTAAAACACAATCTTCTCTCTCTTTTCCCCAAAATAATAGTTTCTTTTATGAAGACTAATTTTTCTCTGAGCTAATGAAATAGAAGCTTATTAACAACAGTAGATAGTTACATTTATGCAAAAACCATTTTCAACGAGGTGGGAAAAGCCAGAAAACATTGGATCCAGTAGAGCTCACTGAGGGATTGTTTGATTTAATCTCTCTCAAGCTTTCAGGAGGCATTCAGATAAGGAGAGTACCATGAAACTGGATAGGATTAGTACAGAGACAACCTTGGAACAACCTTTGTATGAAGGATGAACTGAAGAGCAGAACAGGTGTTTCTTGTCTTTTGGCTCTTGTATACATCTGAAGTTTATATAGCCTTTTGTATCAAAGTGCTACGAGTGGTGCAAGGCATTCAAGATGAAACCCTGAGTGTGCTGAAGCCCTAAGGCCAAGGGCTTCTGTTGCCTTCAGTAAAGGTTAGGATTTTGCTCACTGTATTGTCACATTTTCTTTTGTGGTGCTATCAGGTTTGGTGCTATCAGATTGGTGCTATCAGAGCACTTAGCAAGTGCTGCATATATGATATCCTCTTCCATGTGTCTGCACTTTAAACCAAACTCCTCTCTGATATGTGAGACTTGAAACGGGAGCTCTACCCAGGGCAGAGTTTGTCCCCACCGCTAGTCCTGCAGATCAGTGTCTCTCTATCGTATCTTGCTCCAACATGTATCATTTCCCTTGCCAGGCTCCAAGGCCAGTTGTGCAGTGGTTAAGTTACAGCTCATTCTTCATAATATGAGCAGAGCCTTTTGGATGAATTGCAGCTTTGTACTCGCTCTAGAACTGTGTTACTGTTTTATTCCTTGTGGATGAGTGCAGAAGTAAGCCCACCTTTAACCCTGAGCCCACTATGGATTGCAGCTCACACCTGTCCTCAAGCTGTCTTTGTTGCTGTTATCTTCCTTTCAATGCAAGGAGGGATAAAAATTCTTAGTAACTAACATATCTTTAAAGCAACTTTTTTCTTCCTTATTCCAGTTTTCAGGATCTCACTGCAATAACTCATCAGCATTTTATCCACAGCTAAGTTTTTCAAGCACAGGGAGTTATAATTTCATTGGCAGGCTAATCCTGTGTGGGCTTCACATTCGTATCTGTGCTTATTTAGTGCAAACAAGTGTGTGCACCCCAGAGCTGGCCTGTATGCACGAAGCCACGTTTGCACACCATTTATTCTCAAGTGCCTGTCACAAACAGATCTGCTTTTCTGTGTCCCAGATGATTTTCGCTACCAGGGAAATGATTCTAACTCAGATTTTGTTATACTGGATGTTCTTTTGGCACCTGATAGTCAGAATCCAACCTCTCTCTTCTGTTATTCCCACCCTGTATCCCAGATGCAGAGGTTGTATAAATACTTAGTAAGCAATCAATGAAAAATGCTGGGGTCCAAGTTCAGGGTCCTGCCTAAGGAAACATGAATTTAGAAGGAATTTTTCAGAATGTCTGAGCACTGAAAACCACCTCGCTTGCTCTCTCAGTCCACAGATTAGCATGCATCGAGCTTTTTTAGAAATGATCAGAAACCAACATTAATTAAAAACTGATGGTACAACACAGCTCCATTTTATTACATTCTCTAACTTCATCTGGTGACAACCCTCCCATGTTATAATAGCCAGAAAAAAAATATAAAAAGAATTTAATTCTGTTCAATACTCTTGCACTTCTGTTTTGTATCATCTTATAGGAGCCTTACTATGAATTTACAGCTATGCTCTGCCCTCAGTTACTCCATACTGGTGAAAGAAAAGCTGTTTGTTTTGGTGTATCTATGGCAATACTTTTTCTTTTAGTTGATCCTAAAAGATTGACACTCTTTAGATTACAGTGGTGGTATTTCCATATTGTAAACAATACTCTGTACTGTTACTAAAGTACTGTACATTTCTAGTTGCACAGTGGTGTTACTGAGTGTAGATTCTCACTATCTCATGTATGGTGCTAATTTTGTTGGTGGAAAAGAATCTTAGCAGTCGATTATTGCTTGATATTTTATTATAATACAGGGATATATCCTCCATGGCAATAATACCATGTAAGTTTTTCATTACAGAGTGAAATGTATATATTTTTCCATTAGTTAATTTGCATATGTACTGTATCCATGGTAATTTTCTTTTTGGTGCTGGTTATAACTAGAAAAGATAAAAACAGTCAAACTAAATGGAAGAAGTTGTAAATGAAAACTGAAAAAAAAAAGAAATAGAAAAGAGGATCATTCCATTTTGAAAACAAATTGAGTATGTTGAATAATAAATTTATTTTTTCCATAACAACTTTAACTAGGTTTCTGAACTTGAAAAAATATAATGCAAATCGAGCAGCTAGCATGAAAATTCAGAGCAAGGGGTGAAGCTGTAAGTAGTACCTAATGAATCTGTCTAGTACTGGACTGAGACTGGGATTTGGTTAAATCTAGGCCAACTATGTGATAGCTGTGGTAGGTATAAAACGTTTTTTGTCAGTAAGAAATCTGGCATCTCAGAATTCCTGGTATGCTAACAAATCAAGGAATGATGGGTCTTTCCCAGCTGGGTTGCAGAATAAAGCACAGGGAGTGTTAATACCTGATTACTGTCTAGCAAGGTCTCTCCTCAGGGACACAACAGTAGAACATGCCTGTTTGGAAACGATAACCTAGGTTTTGTTTGGGAAATCACTGTGTATGACTGAGCAGGCTGCCAGGAAGCTAAAGCATATGCCTGGGGACGTTTTGCAAGAGCTTTTGAGAAAGGTTGCTTTCAATGTATGTTGGAGCTGAGGTGAGGTGGCAGCTAGCTGTATGTTAAATGGTAGCTGCTCTGCAGGTGCAACCCAATAACGAAGGTTGCTGAACATATGGAAGTTTATGTTGAAGCTAAACTAGGCCATCCATTTGAAAGATATCTACATAACCTAGCTGCATACTGCCCTGGTGTGAAATAAACAGAATTACTTCAGTGCTAAGTGTTTTGGATGTGTTTGTTGTAGGCACTAGCCAGTGTCTTTGTACTACTTGACTTCCCCTTCAGCCTGGTGAAAATGTCATTTTATGAATGGTTGCACACAGGCATGGAGGATCCCTTCCTATCCTGTTCTACAAAGATGCCGTCATCCACATCCCATTTCAGTTCTTGTTAAAATGTCACTGTTGGAGATGGGAGCAGCACCTTTCTAAAGCAGTCCTAAAAGCAAGCGGTATCTTCTACTGCTGGTATAAGAGTCCCTGTCCCAAGATGATTTCCAGAAATCGAGCTTATACCTACTTTAAAAAATAGAGTTCATTTTCTGATCTCACGCTAGCTTCTTGGTACTGGCATAGCACCTATAGACTCCTGTTTTTCAGAGGTAGCCTGAGATGCCAGCCCAGCTGCCGTTACATATGACTCTTAACAGCATCAAAATTGTAGAAATTTCATCCAAGTGTTGCTGTGTATTAACACGTCATTGTGTTTGTGTATTGCCTGGAGTCAACATATGATTGCAATTGTTGACCTGTTTAAACAATAAAACATAGCTATAAGCCTTTGGAAGCCAAAGGCATTACAGTAAGATCGGATATGGCAATGGGTGGGAGGGGTGTAAGGAATGCTGTCATACATTTGGCTTGAAATTTTCCTGGTATGTGCCAATATGTCTTCTATAAATCTGGTAGGCTTATGTACTTACTCTGCCTGTTTTGCATGCAGCAGTTTGCTATTTTTCCTTTATTCCTAATCCCCATCTTTCAACCAGGAAACCAGATGGTTTGAAGCCATTGTCCTTCCCTGTGATCTCAGTTGTCTTTTTATTTAAGGCACCTCAGCCAAGTTCATTAAAGGCAGGTGGGGTTAGATGGCTCCAGTGCTCTGGCATGGAAGTACCATGAGGAAAGTATGATCTCTTCTCAGCTGCTTGGAACTCACTTTTGCTTCCACCAGCTCCGTCTGCTTCCCTCACTCTCTTCCAATTCCTGGTGTACAGAGCAGCCTTAGCTGTCTCTTGATCCCTCACAGCAAGCTGGCCTGGACCCTGCTTTCTCTGGAAGGAAATTTCTTTCTAAAAAGCTTAATAATGGAGCACCTTTCCCCAGCATCAGCCTCATGCACCACCCCGAGCATTACTAACTGGAGGACCTTGTTCTGCTGGTAGAGTGAAAGCTGACTGCTACTTTGTGCTTTCCTCCACACTACATGGTCTGTTGGGAAAGGCATTTCCTCCTTGAAGAGTGGCAGCACAAACACCAGCGTGCTGAGGATATACAGGCAGAAAAGAATCGCACCAGATGCCAGTTCAGTGCACTCACACTTTTCTGATGGTGCAACAAAAGAAGCCTGCTTGCAGACAAGTTACTTGCATCACTGGTTGGTCGTCTTGCTGTGTGAAAGTAGTGCACCCAGAAACAGGCAGGATGTGGGTGCTGCTCCTCAACGGCGTTACTTCTTCAAGTACTTAAACCTGTGCTGGACACACTTGACAATACTTCTCCGTACAACCTGCCCTTCAGCAGCCTTCCGTTTATTTCAGTTGGAAAGCAGGTCAGTATGAAGACAAGAGTTCTTCAAGTGCTACTAATGCACAAAAAACAGTTCTCCTTTCTAAGTGGATTTTTGTTTGTCCTTCTATCACATCTCTGGCTTCTCCTCACCCTCTTTAAAAATGGGACTGTCTGCCTGGAGAGAAATGTGCCTTGGACAAACAAGACCAAAGAATCTTCGCTTTGGATTTCTTGAGAACTGTCTGTTTTAAAAAGGGAGTTTAGACAAGAATGTCTAAGCAGAGACGGCTCACAACCTCTCCTGTAGCAGCAGCTGCCCCAGAGGATGACTGGGGTGTTTCCAAAGATGATCTCCATGCATCTCTCATGGGTTCTCTCTTTTCAAGACCCTTTCATGTGACAGACCCCGTGATGAATGCCCAGAGGCTGCACTGTACCACATTGCTTATTTTGTCAGAGCTGCCGTCTCTGCCAAATGGTGGCCAGACACTCAGACAGTATTTCCCAATTAGTGGAGTCCTGCAGCTGATGTCTGAGGCTGCATCTGTGTGCCCTGTGCATTACTACGGCTGAGACACTGGCTAGGCCCACATGGCTCAGGGTAGGTAACCGCCTCAGCCATAGGGCAAGGAGGAAGCAGCTGGGCCTCCTTGAAAGATGTGATTTCCCTCAGTTCCTCTTGCTCGGCTGTGAAGGCAGCTATTTGGGTGTTTAGTCCTTTCATCCTTCTGTGGCCTGGATGGATCAGGAGCCTCCAGAGTGACTCATCTGGGTTATGCCACAAGCCTTGGCTTCCTTCTCAGTCTCAGCAGGGAGCGACTCCACACGGTGGCGGATCCCACAGGTCGTCAGTGTGTGTGGCCAGCTCCTGGCACAACTCAGACTCCAGGTGAGTCCTTGCATCCTTGGCATCTCCAGCTTCTCCTGAGCCTTGGGCTTATGGCAGTCTCAGTTTAACTCCAGAGATGTCTGCCTTGTCCTTTTCCCTCTACTCCCCGCAGACACATCTCATCTCCTTGTCCTTGCTGCATGCTTACAGCTGCTTTGTGTTCCAATGCTTTGCACCCTTCAGAAACTTTGCCACTTTTGCTGCGTATGCAAAATGACCTTCCTCCTCAGCACAATTGCATTTAATCTCTCTCAGCCTTGAAAGAAAATATTCTTCTAATTTTACTCTTGCAGTAGCCTCGTGTCTACCCTCACAGTTACTTTCTGGCTGTGTTTGTTTCTGAGATCTTTTATAATGTTTCAGTGTTTTTTGTGCAGGGGCATTTGTATGCTGCAACCAGACATGGATGATGCAAAGAAATGGTTCTCCTCTGAAGACCTTACAGACTGCAGGTGGTCATCGGGGAAAAGGTAGATTCCCAAAGCAGCTACTTGCCATTATTGGCAGCAACAATCTGAAAAGGTACGGAGATGAATGTGTGCTTCTTTTGAATGAGCCTATGTTGTGATTACCATGCTAGCAGGGAGTGGAGAGGGATATCTCCCATTGGTTTTCTATCCTCAGATACATTTTTTGTCACTGAAAGTAGCAGAGGATAAAATCCACATCAGTTCTGGGATGCCCCACACAGCAATTGAACTGCAGGATCCAAATCCAAGCTTGGCTACTGCTCAAAACACAGGCTGGCAGAGAGAGGGAAATGCTGATTCGTTCAGCAGGAGAGTGCTGGTAGCGTGCCAGTCTGTATGTCTGCTTCTGCTCCCAAAAAGCATCAGCTATCAAAAGACTGTGGGCAGTTTCCTGTAGGGTCGTTGCATACAGCATCATTCTGCAGCCGTTGCGATGACAGGCAGTGAAACAGTTCAGAATTTGAAAAGGAGGTGTCCTCTAATGGAACACAAAGTTGAGCACTACCTGGGTCTGGCGAGCAAAGCAAGACAAGCCACTCTTCTGTAGGGGTTTTTCTTATTTGTCTTTTTCATTTTCTTGGAAAAGACATTATTTGAACACTTAGCAGCTTCCATTTATTTCCCCAGCTCTGCATTTTTCCCCTTGATTTTGTCTCTGATGGCAGAAAGACCCGACCAGACTGCAGCTTTGTTTGGCATCAAACTTGCCTCCTGAGATGATCACACAAGAAGTCTTTTATCACTTTGGCGGCTGAGAGCCAGAGCTGCTTGTGGTGGAAGTTGCTGGGACTGTAACCCCTGGTTGTCGTGGGATGAGAGTCAAGCTTGGCCTGTCAGCAAGGCGAGTTGCAGCAGTCTGAGCCCCTGCCAGGACACGTCAGTACTCCTGAGCGTGCTTCCCCCGGTGCTGCTCTCATTAAGGAAAAGGTATGAAACCCACATCTAAGTTGCACTAGTCCTTTAAAAAAATGAAGTGTTGTCTAAAATAAAAATCCTGTCCAGAATCATGGTCTAATTCCTTAGGAAGTCACTGTAAATTGAACCTCCTCTGCTCTCACTGCCTAAAAACCTCTTAGTTTTCTTATTGATGTAGTTCAACTTCTGTGCTATTGGCACAGTGTTATCCTCAGCGCTGTCACCTCTGCTTAATGCCCAGGTTTGTGTCGAGGAGGGGGGGTCCTGCTGAACTCCTCAGGCATCAGCAGGTGTCCAAGGCTGCAGTCACCCTTCCTCACAGCTTCCCCAGTTCATTTCGTAACATACTTACCACATCTTGAGGACGAGATGCTGACACAGCCAGAGAAGTACTGCCATCAGCTGCATTTCCCAGGAGTGAAGAAGTTGTTTCCTTTTCTCAGTCATTTTTGCTGAAGAAATAATTTAAAAGGGAAGAAGAAAAACATGCATGATTGTGTTAGCAAGATGGAAAACAGCTTTCTGCAGCTTCCAGGTATTTATGTGCCATTGTCTCTGCAGTGCCATTAGCAATATATTGCCTGTTGCTGCCTATTAAGTACGGACAATTTTGCAATAGCTGTGTGTGCCATACCTTTGCAAGCAGTGCCTTTTCCCTGTCTGCCCTCATGGCTTAGATTATTTGTATGCAAGGCAATGGCATTGTTTATCAAGCCTTTCCATCAGCTGTACAAACTCAGAGCAGAATCAGCTGTGTGCATATGTCCCTTACTGTCAGAGCTTCAGTTTTTGGGAGGTAGGCTCTTGGGCAGATCCTGTGAGATTTGGTGTTTCTTATGTATCTGTCTAGACAAAGTGCTGCCTATGCATATACCGTAAGGGCATGTGAGTATAGCATAAGAAAGGAAAAAGCACATTAGTTTGTTTTCCAGTATCCCTGTAGAATGGGTCTAAAACAGAACAATCATTCACTATGCAAAAAACAAAACCAAAACAAAGCAAAACAAAACCAACAAAAAATCCTGACAAAAACATATTTGTAAAAAATGTCTTATATGTTTTTCAGGGTACTGCTGAGTCAAGCTGCCAGGCTGCTCCTCTCTCCTTCCCCACCTCACCCCAAATGCTTCCATTTTTGGCTAAAAAAAATCTCAAGTTTGAGAATTTTCTAACCACCAATGTCAGCCAAAACCCAGGCCCTTTCCTCTGATTTTTCCACTTAATTTTTAAAGTATCTTCTGGCAATACAAAAATATTGTTTTGATGGAAAATTTTCAACCAGCTCTGCTCACTAGTTTCTGCCAACAGTCATACAGGCAAAACAGTGCATCTTCCAAGAGAGGAGACTGTCCGAGGGGGCCGAACATGAGGCAGGCAGTGACTAATGCTTCTCTCCCCAGCCACGTGCCCCAGCCAGCACTGTGCTCTTTTGCAGGCTGCAGCCCTTGGTGAGACCCATCTTTCCAGAGATGTTTCTGGTCTAAATTTCTCTTGGCAAGTCAACTTCATAATTCAGGTATTTTGCCCAGTTGAAGGGAGGCGTGGGTGGCACAGTAGGATCACCAGGAGACCACAAGACTTGGAAGAGAAAAATTCTGCACTTCTTACCCATGTTAACTAATACTTGGACTCCTGCAGGCAAGTACCAGCTGGCAGGGAGAGGTGGGGAGATGGGGCCTAGTCCAGCTCACTATCAAAACAAACTTCCCTGTGCTATTGTTGAACAGAGCTGTTTAGAAATACCAGCAGCTGAGCCATGCACAGGCATGAGCAGTCTCCATTGTAACCCCTGAGTAGCTCTGTGAGCAAGATTCTAAATTGGCTGGTAGGCTGAAATGACACCAGTCGCATCACTGCTGTGTATCTGTTACCCATCTGTCTCTTGGGAAGCTTAGCTCCTCTCAGGAAGATATTCCTGCAGAGATGGGCAGAACCTAAATTTCAGTATTTGGCTTTGGGAGCCAAAAAGGCTTCTGCACGCTGACTACCTGGACAGTATCCTCTGAGGACAGCCATTCTGCAGCAGTCCTTAATACTTGCCAAGTTCTCTGAGATCTTCCAATGAAGGGGTTTTTAGATGTGAAAAAGTTTATAGCCCTTCTCTGACCATTGGTGATTTTAGTGGGTTAAGTTAGGAACAGGAAATACAGTGACTAGAGGAAAGCCATTAATATTAAATTCCAGCCTTTGCCGGATAGTCTTATGTTATCTTTGCTCTTTCATGAAATACTTCCCAGTTTTCCTCGCAGGGCATTTGTTAGAGGGGTAGCAACTGAGGAGCTGTATCTTGGCACATCTCCACCTGCTTTTCTGTAGCAGTGCACATTTGTGCTGTGGGATTTTAAGAATTTCCTTTGCCTTTAGAATTGATATGCAAACAGTCAGCTGTATAGACATCAGTCTGACTGGTAGACAATCTGTGTGACCCAAGAAATAATACAGGTGGCCAGCACCATGCTGGTGACTCCAGAATTTCTGGAGAAAACAGACTTGTTTTACTATGTCTAGAAGATGGGAGGTCCTGTATACACCATCCAGTAATGTAATCTGCTGTGCTTGACTGATCACAAAACACCCACCAGGATTTCCCTAACAGCACCCTTGATTATTGCCAAGGAAAGCAAAGGTTTGTAAGGAATGTGAGCCCTGACCTTGCCACCTCAAAAATAGCTAGGAGATCTCAAGATGCTCATTTCAACAGCCAAACATATGTCCCCTTTGTGCTATACCAAGTCTGCCAGGTTGATAGGAACCAGAACCTTCCATCTCCAGCCTGCACAGTGATCTAAGTAACCTTTCATGCCAGAGCAAACACAGAGAGCCCTGTGCAGTCAGCATACAGTTCTGCCAGCATCCTTTTCTTCAATTCCTCAAATAGCCATTGACTCTGCTGTGCTAAAAGCAGCTGGGATACGCTTTCTGTAAAAGGGGCCATCTTAATTTTCCTGTCTGCCATGTTGCTGTAAGTCCATTTGTACCACCATGTGATGGTATGGGTTGAGAGATATTAAGACAGGAGAGATGAGGGTTTCCAGCTGCGTAACCCTGTTCGTGCCACCTCTCCCACTAGTGTCCCCACTAGGGCCAAAAGCTGTATGATTGAGCTCTTGTGCACCTTGTAGACAGACACTGAAACCTAAAAAAAAAAATTCAGGCTGGAGAGTCTCATATCACTAAGCAGCTTGTTACCCAGGGCAGTAAAGTTTTCTGTTAAAAAGAAGTCTTTTATTTCCCATTGATACTTGTCAGGTGGCAAGGAGAACCACTCTCCTGTCCCAGAAGGCCCTAGCTGCAGACACTGCCTTGGAAGTGAAGCTTGCTCTCATGGCTACGGCAAAGGAATGGGAAGCACGAGATCTGGCACAAAGTCCTCCTCCCACTGAAGCCAGTGGGATGTTTGCCATTGGCTTCAGGGGAAGCCAAGATTTCAGTCTGCAGCCAGATTGCTGGTGTGTTGTGCTATGCTGTGTGCAGGATCAGAAAAGGTTCTTGGTTTCCCGATGAAGCTGTTACTGCCTCACCTCCTCTGCTGCAGATAGCTGTCTCTCACCTGATGTTGCTCCCTGCTCTTTTCCCTGTTTTGAAATCTTATTCTTAGGCTAGAAGCTCTTTAAGGAAGAGACTGGCTGCATGGTATGTGCCTGCTTGTATTGTCCCACAGCTGGGGCTTCTGGGCATTCCACTGCCAAAAACATTCCCTCCTCCGTGGATGATGTATGATGCAAGAGGATGGCATAATGCAGCAATAAAGAGCTGAAAATAGGTGGTTTGAATTAAGTAAAACATGTGGGGTTTTCTCCAGGTAAAGAACTTGAATCAGCTTTAGAATTTTGCTCTGTGGTTCAGGAGAATCTGAAGAGATTGTAAAAAAGGTGCAGAGACAGGCCTTCCTGTTTCAGACTTTAACAACATGAGTTGCTGAGAGTCTTGATTTTAAAAGCACCTCTTTTTGTCATGTCTCCACTCGTTCAAGGTCAGATGGAAGTGAAATTGTGTTAGTGATAAGCAGTGGCATAAGTATCTGTGAGCTTGACAGAAAACCTTGGTGCTGTAGCATTGGCTGTGTTATGTAGTACATAATATAGTGCTCCTCTGATGCATTGAAAAACCTTGTGCCAGCTCATGCAGCCCATGCAGTATCTGTATTTGAAACATAGGCAGGGTTACTGCTCTCCTGAAGAGCAGGTAAAGGAAGTCATCTCAGAGCAAACTGCAGTTGTTACACCAAGCAGCCCATTTTGGCCTGTGTAAGTCCTGCTGGTTTTATTTGAATGGACATGGCATGATGGAGCCTCTCTATGCCAAGGAAAAGCCACTGCAAGCAATTCTCACTCTTTATGTGTATTTCTCCCTGAAGAGGATGTCTTTTCCTATTCGTCCCGTGGGTTTGGTCTCTACTGCCCCTTTCTGGAAATATCTGTAAATGCATCATATCTATAAAAAGGCATGAAGATTTATCTCCTGGACCAAGAAGCTGCCCTGGCTTTTCTCACTTCTTCAGGTGCCACATGTTGTACAGCGTCTTCCCCTCCTGTTCAGCAGCACCTTGTGTTCTCTGGCCATCTGGGATGAGGTCTTGTTCCCTTGACATTTCCACAAAGAGTAGCTGGTGTGAGCTTTCTGGTAAGTAGAAAGTGTTTTGATAGATTTCTTTCCCTGCCAGGCAAGGAGTTTGTAAGTGCAGGTTCTTAAAGTCCGATGTTGATCATGCTGAGATCCATAGCTAGCACTTTTACTGTGATTTTCCCTCAGTAACTAGAAGCAGAGATACCCCAAAGTTCAGCACTGGTACAGCAGCACGCCCCAGTGCCACCTCTTTAGACACAGAAGTCCTTAAGACTCAAAAATGCACTTTCCTATAGTAATAAATGGGGAAGAATAGAGAGGTGTTTTCAATTTTAAGGAGTGAGGCAAGAGGGGTGGCTTTGTGTGGTGTTCATCTTGCTGCTATCGCTTTAATTCTCATAGTAGTTCCTCTCCACCCTCCTTTTTTTTTTTTCACTTTTTTTTTCTTTTTTTCACCTGTATGTGTTCTGAATATTCTTTACAAGGAGAGTGGTTAGGCCCTGGAACGGGCTGCCCAGGGGGGTTGTGGATGCCCCGTCCTTGGACGTATTCAAGGCCAGGTTGGACGGGGTCCTGGGCAACCTGATCTGAATGTGTGTGTTTGGTGGCCCTGCTAGGCAGGGGGGTTGGAACTGCATGATCCTTGAGGTCCCTTCCAACTTGGGTGATTCTGTGATTCTGTGATTCTGTGATCTGTGAATTCAGCACAAAGAGGGACAAAATTGCAAGTGAGAAGGGCATGGGATCCTGGTAGTTTTAAAGGCCAGGGATCATTGCCAACATGCACCCACTCTCCCGTGTACCATGTTGGTGATCTCCTCATGAGCACAACCCAGGAACCAGCTTCTCTCTGACTTTTGTGGAGGAGACCGTTGTGAAACTCGGTCATCCTTCCTGATTCTGGATCCTGGACGTACAAAGTGTTCCTTACGAGGTTGGTGTCTACATGGTGAGCCCCAGCTGTGGGCCCATGAGCAGCTGTAAACGCAGCCTAGGCTGCTACCCTCCCTAGACTGCTTACCCACCATTTGCATGAGCATGTGAAGTGCAAGGGCTCCTGCAGCTGTAGAGGCTTTCCTAGCACTTGTCTAAAAAAAAAGGGAACGTTTTCGTGGCATTTCTTTATCATCTAAATAAGTCCCCAGCACTATGGTAGACATCCTGTGCTGCCCACTGGGGCCCCTCTCTTCATGGTCCATGTGGCCTAGAGGAAAGGGGAAGATTTTCCCATGAGAACGTACCCATTCCTTGGCTCCAATTAGAGAAAATGTATTGCTGACAATGTTCTTCCTTGAATTGGCTCAGCTGAGAGCCTGATTAGCTATTTCCCAGTCATCTTGAAGGCCAAGGCCCATGTTTCTTTAATTTTGTCCAACATGTCAGATAGTTAGGGAAATGGTTGGGAATATTGTAAAGCAGCTTCTGGCAGTGAAGAGTCCCAGGGAAGGATCACATAGACTCCTGGTAATCATTCTCAGGCTGTCTGTTGAAACCCTGCCTATGCAAAGATCCAGGGAACTGCAGCATTAACCAGGAGGGACACAGCCTGTAGAAAAAGGCATTGGTCAGCTCTTTCTCCTTTTCTGTAGGAGATTTGGCTGGTTGTGCTTTGTTTGGTACCTGGTGGTCATGCTGGTAGTGCTCACGTGTTCACTGTAAATGCAGCATTACTAGATCTTTACTGACAGTCAGACACATCTTTTATTGCTTAATGCTTGCTCACCCCAGTTTCCCAGTGCTGGGATCAGGCTGTGCTGTGTGCATCAGCCATGGGTGAATCAGTTAATTCCCTGCAACTCAGGGAATAGCAGAGGTACCATTAAAGCGTTGCATGGCTGTGGATTTATGAATACTTTGAACTCTCTGGAAGAACAAAAGTTCCCTGAGATTATGGTTCAAAGTGAATAGAAGACAACAGCTGTCAGAACAGTTCCTTGGATCCCCGTAATGATGCTAGATTAGCACTTTGGGCACCTTCAGGGGCCACCTCACTGCCCAGCTATTGAAAGGGCAGAGGCAGCTTGGGGCAGTGACCCTTCTGTTGCTCTGTATGCAGGACACAGTTGTATTGGCCAAGGCTGTGCTCAGCCCTAGATTTGCTGTAAGAGTTATAAGTGATACAATCTCATTTTTTCCAATTTCCTTCCCCACAAGTTAGCTTAAAGGGAATGAAGGCAGATCTTGCTACATCTCAGTGCATTACTAGCCAGCTCAAATGACTCCTCACTGTCTTTTCTTCTACATGAGACTCTTAATGCCCTAAGTCTTTGCATGTCCTGGCACAAAGCCCAACTGAAGCATGAGCTCCAACAGCAGTTTTAAATTTAAAGTTGTTCTTTTGGCTTCAGAAAGTCACAGATTGAAGTTGAGAGATGCATTTCAGCTGTTTACTTGCAGATCTGCAACAGCCCTGTTGTGCTATTGCTCTCGCCTCCATCATGCAGTTGTGTTAACAGCACTTTCCAATTAAAGTAGTAGCCTTAGTTACAGAAAATGCTTTTCCTATTTGGCCATTTGTCTGATGATTATTTTCTAATTACTCATGAGGCATAGAGCTGGTTTGTTTCCTATTCCTCATTATAATCAACCCATCATCATTTCTCTGGGATTCCTTTTGCTGTTTTTTATTTCTTGCCATTTTGAGCATCAGCTTGGGTAACCACTCAGACACCACGTGTACTCACACAGTGTGCAGTGCTGATGTGAGAGACCAGGTAAATATCAGGTGCACAAGCAACTCCTGAAGTTCTGCTCACCTCCAGCAGCAAGGAGAACATCCTGCTGTGGAAATACTGGTGTCAGGCAATCAATCACAGAGCCTTGCAGTGTAAATTAGGACCACTTCCCTGACCTAAATGCTCCTCCTCTGAAAACGTAGCCTTTACCACATTCACTGCCAAGATTAAGGCTTTTCCCCATTACCTGAACACTCAGAATCTCTAAGATAATAAATGATGTCATATGAACCCTGCATCTTTCTTCTGATGCAGTCAAATGAGAGCATCCTTTTCATTTCACCCCACTGAGTGGCATATGCTGGACTCCATCCTGCCTGCAATGCAACAAGCTCAGCAGGCTGCTGCAGTGGTGGGCAGCAGGGTCTGAACTGAGCCACTGAGCCCTGAGATTTTCACTTCCTCCATATTTGCCATTGCAGACAATGGTGCCACTGTCTGGCAGTTGAATGCTCTTCGTAACATGAGCACAGAGTGCTTGCTCTGGAACTGCAGGGACAGGAGGAAGGCCAGATGCAGTGACAGAGGCACAGGTTTCTGGGCTGTGAGGCCGCAAAGATCCTCTCTTCAAGGATTTCCCACAGTGTGATCAGCCGTGACTGTCACTCTGGTCTTGTGTCCAATACAGTGACCCTCAAATCCTGGGACACCTCAATTCCATGAGACCTTGTAAGGATGCCACAACCACGAGTTCCTGCATATTTGACAAGAAAGCAAAGCGTGCTGCTGCCCCCATGTGTTACTTGCTCATTACTGTTGCCATGCACCAGACGTGGGAACCTACCTGGGAGAATGAAAGTAGCCAAGCTAAGCACAGCACAGCCATTTCAGGTACTGAGGTCAAAGATCTTGAACTGGAAGACCTTTCTGTTTTCTCTGTTCTTCACGTTTAAGAAATTACAAAGTTGGATTGGACATGTTTGGAAGTTAGATGAGCTGGAGAAAGCAAGGAGCATGCCATGTGCAGAAAAGCACACAGAAGTCGTCATCCATTCTGAAAGGATGCATCTGCAGTGCTCGAGACTGCCATACAATGCTGAGCAATATCAGATATCAGCACAGGGTGTTCAGGCTTGTTGGCTCAGGCTGTGAGGAGTGCAGAATGAGAGACAGCTCTTGGCAAGCTCTGCTCACATGATAAGGTCATTGGAAAGGCAAGTGATGCTTTCATCAACCTGCCTTTCCCCAGTACCGGCACCAGCTTGAGTGAAGACTCACTTTGTGCTCCTGTAGTGTACTGCACACTGCATGATGCCAAGGACAAAAGCTTCCTCCCATATGCACTGAAGCAGTGTTCTTCCAACCAGTGTCTCAGTCTCCGGCTTCCCACCCTTCTTGGCCACGTCGTGTTCCTGTTTTGAACCATTCCATTTAGATTTAATTTAAATTCTCTCTAGGCTAGTGGCAGCTCTCAGGAGAAGGGAGAGCAGGCTGTGTGTAGCTACTGGCTGTCTGCTGCTTCCCAGCAGTTACCAGATAACTTCTGGACGTTCATTACAGTTCTCACAGTTTTGTCCCTCCTTGCTGGGCAGTACTTTGCTGGGGCTGCACATGCTTATTACCAGAGTTAACCAGTCCTAGAAGCTGCCTGAAACCTTGCCTTGTAGGTAAGCCAGCTCAAATGGAGCCAGTCTGTAGCACAGGACATCGTGCAGACTGATGGCTCCGACCATCACTAATGTAGTTTCATGGAAAAGTGGTGCTGCCTATTTGCCATACCTACACAAGAGCCTTTTTGTCCCTGGCACCATTAGCAGATGGGCCAAGAAGTTGTGCCTCAGTGGAATGTTGTCCACAGAGTGCCCTAGACACTAAGAGCTCTCTGAGAATATATGAAGGAACAATATATGCTGGCAGGGCTTGCATGCTCCAGCAGTTGGGGATTGCAAACACATGCTTCAGCTATGCAAGAAATCTCTGACTTGTTCTGAATGCGATTCAGCCTGGGTTTCTTCCCAGGAACATTCCTGTTCTTCACAATTTACCAGTTGCAGGAAGGGGGGTGGAGGAGCAGGATTTTACTAGTACTCAGGACTTTAAGAATAAAGGAGAGGAAAGGGAACAAATCTTACAATGTGTTCCCTGGCCAAATTCCTCTAGAAGGACAGGGTGTGGAGTATGGGTTCCAGGATTTGGCATAATCTCAAGAAAATACGAACTTCAAAATTAAAACCACTTTTAATTTGTCATTTGTTTTTATATAAAGAGTAACTATCTGTTTTTCTGGTTTTTTTTCTTCTTAAGTAATTCAGTCTCTGCTATCACATAGACCAGGCAGCCAGAGCCAAATGGTGCTGCTTGCTGGAAGCCAAGCACAGAACTAGGTCTCTGAACAAGGACACATTATCTCCTCCAGGAGACAGCAGTTCTGTTTAGATCTGCGTTGTGGTTCCAAAGATGAAAGTCTCAATCCTGAGTCACAGCATAGTCGCAAACTTAGTTGTTATAGGTGGGACTAATCTGATGAGCTGGAGATGAGTGATGAATGCTTATTATAATGCCTGCTGTGTTACAAGGAGGAAAAAAAAACTTGCAAGGATGGACATGAGAGCTGTGCTTCTTGCCTGGAAGAAGTCAGAGGTACGGTGTGCCCACAGCTTCACATGCTACTCAGAGGGTTGACAAAATCTGCTTCTCCTTGCAGGCAATAGCAAGCTTCTCTCTGGCCAGCACTACAAGCCACTATGTCCACTGTGTGTGCCCCATGCTGCAGGGCTGGGTGTCACCTTGCAAGTGGGTGTTCCCTTATGTAAGGAAGATGTTGGTCTTGTCTGGGTCCGGTTGCCCCTCAGTTGGGAATTCCCCTACGGACAAGGTGTGAAGCTTTTTGTAAGCCAGGTCTTGTGGCTGCTACTACACAACAGCGTGAACACAGGTTTTGTGTTTCTTTCCAGATGTGACCCCTAAACCATCACTTTGTTCCTTGTTTTCGACACAAGACCCCTCGCGGGCTGTCGGTGGCAGGAGTGCTTGTGTGTGGAACTGCCTGTGGCTGAGTTCGGAACCTGCTGAGCTGGACATGCCCTGCAAACTGGAGAGATCATTCTAAGAGGTGAGGTGGAGCCCAATGCTACCAAACATGCACTTCGAGTAACCTCCATAGCTCAGTTAACTGTATTAAGTATATGCCTGATATTTACTTAACTGAAGTTTTCTTTTCTAAGTGGTGTGCATGGTGTATCTATCTCTTAAACATGTTGCTGTATGTAATTCAATCAAATGTGTACACAGTACTCACGTAAGCTCAGTCACTCCAGACATGGGAGAGTATTATTTTGTTCTATTTGGCTCATACTTCTACATTTAAAATGGAGGGTAACTTTATTGAAATGCAATTCAGTGATACCAGAAGTATCAGTAGATTTCTGTTGCCTCACAGTGCTCTTCTGGAGTCTTTCCCATTTTGTGCTCGACTGAACGGAAGTAACTGGTTGAAATTAAGAAGCAGATGCTAAAGAAGTATTTCTTTAACTTGCACTGTATCAGGGCTATAGTTCAGTATTTGTGAGGGTTCCCACCTCCTCTTTTATTGATTACTCTTCATTCTACATTTTTCTTGTTAATAACCCATACGGCAGAGGAAATGGTTGAATGATTTCCCTCTGACTCGCTTTTATTAATCCCAAATCATGGCTCACAGTTATGGTGATTTATGAATTGCAGCTTTCACCATTGTGAATTCAGGGCAGTTGGAAACCACCGGGTGCCAACCTGAACAGCTGCAGCCCAGCAGCCAGTGCTGGTGAGCCAATGTGCTGGGATGTATGAAACAGCCCTCGGATGGCTGCTTTAATGCAGCATTCAGAGCTGCTTTCAAGTTGTGCGCTCAGCCCCCGGCTTCCCAGCTGAAGGTAGCGGACTGTCGCTGAGCGGTCTAAAATGCTAATAATAGATTTTATTGCGATTAAATAAGTTTTTAGTAGGCTGCTTAAAGGGAAACAAGATACAAGGAATGTGAGCGAAATGAGAATGCTCCTGAAGTCAGCCTGCATAGATGGGGACAAAGCAGAAGGGGTGAAGAGAACAGCAGTTCTGGATTTGGGCAAGATCTTAAAGCAATCACAGGAGAGGGGAGGAGGGAGCCTTGTTCCCGTTCGTGCTCTTTTTGGAAAGCCTGAACCGAGATCTTCGTTTAAGTTTTTTTTTTTCTTTATCGGGATGTGATTAAGTCTGGCTTTTCCTGGGAAGGAGCTCATGTCGGTGTGCAGGCGCCACGTGGGAGCTGCCGGCTCCGCGCGCCCAACCCGCGTGGCGCAACCACGGCGCTCCCGCGGCGCGGGCCCTTTAAGAGGCGCCTCACCCGGCGCTTTCCAGCGCCGACCTCTCAACCAACCTTTGTGCGCTGCCCTTCCCAGCTTCCCATTGGTCAAGTGGCTTTGAGGTCCCGCCTTTCCGCGCTGCCAGCCAATGGAAGACGGAGTCGGGGAGAGACGGAGTTAGGTTGGTGTGCGCGGCCGATGGCCGGCGGGGAGCGCGGGGCCGGGAGACGGGGTGGCGGCGTGGGCCGTCGGGATCGGCGCCGCGGGTCAGGCACCGAGAGCGGCGGGCCGTGACGGCGGGGCTCCGGTCGGGCCGAGGCCCCTCCGAACCGCTTCGCCCGCCCCGGCCGGGCCCGTTCCCCGGGAGGAGGCGGCAGGCCGCGCCGGGCGGACCGAGGGGCCGCGCGGAGCCGCGCGAGGATGCGGGCAGCGCCGCTCCGACCGCGAGCGCGGCCGCAGCGCAGGGCTGAGCGCTGACGGAGGGGCGGCGGGCTGCTGCGGCCTCGTGGGGCGAAGCGCTCCGGCCGTTTCTTGTCGGCGTTCCGCGGGTCGCAGGTACGCGTGGCCGGGGCTCGGAATGCGCGCGGTTTGCGCGTCTCCGTAACGCCGAGCGGTTCTGCGGGGAACTGAGGGCTCCTCAGGTAGCGCCGCTCAGTCCTTAGCGTGTGCGGCTGGGGCTGGACGCGGTGCTCTCGGCCCCGTTGTTCTGAGGGATCGTTGCCGTAGTAAAGATTCCTGCCTTAAGTGAAGGGGTGGCTTTCTCTTTATTTATTGTTAGGAAACGTTAGAATTTGTGACGTGGAGCGAAGCTTTGTCCCGTGGCAGACCTTAAAAAGAGATGGCATCATGAAAAATTGTGACGTCTGTTTTGTTCCAGGTGCTGCTATAGAAGATGAGGCTGAACGAGAGCCGGACCAGACCCTTCCAGGCTCCTGTTTCCATCCACAGCTACCCGGGAGGGCAAGTGTACGTGTTCCCAAATGGCCGCTCTGACTCAGAAGAGTCGTCAGACGAGGAGCTCAACGTCATGGAGCTGCGGCCGAGGGGCAGGGAGCGGCAGTGCAGCAATGCACGGGGCAGAGCTGGGGATGTGGTGCTTCTGGAGAGAGACATCACTGAGGACGACAGTCTGAACAAGCTTGCCCTGCAGTATGGTTGCAAAGTAAGAGCTGTCTCTGTTTGCTTTTGTTTTCTTTACTTTTAGAGATGTTTTGTGCATGCAGAGTACTTCCCAGAATTCTGTATAGGCTCCTTGCTGTCTGACAGCATTTGCCCTGTGTATTTCATGAATGGTCAACAGCTGGGAGAAAGTGAGCTGGAGAAAGGTTAAAAAAAAGAGCTGTTGAGCTAACAGCCATGGAAGATGTCATCCCATGTGGCCTGGCTTACTGGTTAGTTTGGATGACATCAGCAAAGTCATGATTTGTATTTATTTATTCGAGGGCATAAAGTTCAAGCTGAGCACAGAAGTGAGGGAGAGAGCACTGCCCTCTCCAGGGTTACAGGTTTGAAATGAGTTGAACAGCGTTAAGAAATGCTGCTTTGGTGGGGCCTGGGCTAGATTTCCCTTTTTGTTTCTTTTTTTTGAAAAGGATGAGTTTCCATATTGCTGGGAAATGCTGGGTCTGAGATGGACCTACAATAGGAGAGGTACCACTGTGGGTCACAGAGCTGCTGTGCGGGGTCTTCGATGGCTCCTGCAGTACACAGAGGTGCATGTGGCTCAGCCAGCTGCAGGCAGAGAACAGCACACAAAGACTGTCTCTGGAGTTGGAACATACTGAAAAACACACATTCTGAGTTTGATGTGGGGGAAAAATGATGACAGTTTGAATGACCTGATGTGAAGATTAAGAATACCCCATTGCTTAGCAGTTACAGCTTTATTTTTTGAGTCTCCTTTACCTACAAGCTCCTTTATCTACAAGCTAGGCCATGATTAAGAAGTTGCATAATGCAAGCATTTGGACGGTGGCCTGGTTGGTGATAATGACATGGTACTGCTGAACTGTTGCAATATTATTGCACCATCTTGCTTAATAGCACAGCTGTAAGGTACAGCTGAAGCAAGAGGGCTTAGAGAAGCTGAGACAATTCCTCCCCTCCCAATCCCTTAGAAACAAAAACAAAACAAAGGCCCTTGTAGGTTCTGCTGAAGCTGGTGCTTGTGAAGGCTGGTAGGGCTTAAAGAGGCTTTGATTGCGAGCAGTGGAGCCGCTGCTGATGATGTAGCAGCCCTGTACTCTTCACAGTCACAACTGTTGCCACTCGTGCCACATCGTAGCAGTTCACTGAACTTAAAGGAAGATTACCAGCAACAGTTGGTTCTCTTAAGAGAGAATGTGAGTGCGGCTCCTGTGGTGTCAGCGAGGAGCACTCAGGCAGTCAGCACACTCCTCCCGCAGCAGAACGCCCTGCCTCCCTCCCTTCAGAAAGCACACTTCTGATTTGTTCCCATTACATTGAAGAGAGATGGAAATCCTTGTGACTGGGGATCTGTGTATTTATTTACAGGCTGACACTGGTCAGTATCAACGTAGTTTGTAGGATTTGCACGGTTAAGCAGCTCCTGAAAGACTACTGGGATGTCAGCAAAGATTTTTAGCTGCAAAAAATGTGGGCGGTGTAAAAATTCCACGATGGGCTTTCCTTGAAATTTCCTTGAAATTCCAGAGAATTTGTTACTGGTTTGAGAGTCATCAGGGCCTGCTTGGGGTGGGAGAATTGAGACAGTGCAAGAAAGTTTTGTTTGTGCAACAGGTAACTTGGCAGAGATGCGGAGCACGACAAACTTCTCATTTTTACTCTTGACCACGTATAGTCTGGGCCTGCTTTTGGCATAGTTTTCAGCTGGGACAAGAGGAGCTCACTGCAGCCAAAAATGAGTACAAATAATAAGCCTGAATGGCTTGCTCAGCCCAGTGCTGTACATTTTTCCCACCAGCTTTGTTGTTTTTGTGTGAGTGCTGCTCTACTTTCCGTTTCTAGAGCTTTAGCGCAGCGTTGCAGTTTGATTGCAGACACTGCAGGGGATGTTTACTGTCCCAGTAATCTGTTTTCATTGGAAGAAAACAGAAAATTGAGGCACAGCTTCAGTTAGGAGGCTTAGTGTCAGATTGTTATTTCATAACAAAGTAATTGTGGAGAGTTTAATTCCTGATGTTTTGCTGAGGCAAGCTGTGAGGAGTCTGATCCAGCAGCTGAGGATTCCCTTAGCTGCAGGGGCAGCAGATTAGGATCTGCATTAAACACCCCATTTTCAGATATGTCAGGCTGTGCAGAGTAAACACGACGTTCGGGCATCCATCTCCCCTCTCCTTTTCAGTGCAGTCCTGCAGCTCAGCTGTGACATAGCAGACCTGCCTGTTGAACCAGCTCTCCCTAACAACATGGGCTGAAGGGAGCAGAACTATGCAGCTGTGCAGGCAGAGCCCTGCAGGGCAGGGAGCCCTTCCCCCCTGGCTGAGGAGGTCCCTGGGGTTGCCTGCAGGCAGCCATTCTGCAGCCACCAAGGAGAGGGTCGTGTTCCTGCAGCAGCTCTTTGGGAACTGCCATAGGGCTGCCTTCTGCTTACCTGTGTGTTGTCTTTTATAAGGGCAGATCTTTGCTGTGAGCTGTCAAGTGATGTTGGAGCTGACGACACTCATTGCAGGAAGAAGAGCACTTTCTTGGTTTTAATCCTCCTCATGGTTTTACTGGTTTCATTGGTAGCCTGACATTTGTGAGTGTGCAGTGAATGACCATCGTGCAGTAATTTGCTAAACTTCTACAAGAGCAAATCAGACTTTCTGTGTGTGGTGTGTCGGAGGTGTTGGGTCTCTGAGTCAGGTCCTGCTGTTCCCTCTGCTTTGCCTCCTTCAGCCTTTCCTTCAAGATTCTTTCATGTCTGCTTGGCTGCCTTGGTTTGCTGCTTGCAATGGGGCCTGGTTGTTATCTGACAGAGGTTGTAGGGGGTTATCTGTGTACGCTGTATTAAGCTGCCTTCTCTTTACTTAACATTAAATAAGGAAACGCTGCCTTCCTGCTGACTTTGCTTTTTGATACCAGCAGCCCTTGTTGACTTATGCTGTATGTATGGTGTGTACTTTCTTGCTGTTCTCATTGCTGTTTGCGTGACTGAGCTGGGTGCAAACACCAGGCACAGGTGTTGACCCCTGGCTGATGGTCTGTTAGCACACACCAACATCCAGAGCTGCTCACAGGTGGACATTATTGCTTTAAATGTTTATCACCAGGACCTTGTTCCAGCTGTGGAGAAGTGAGCTGCATGGAGCAGTTATGCAGGGGAGAAACTCAGCAGTGTGAGAGGTGCCTGCTGCTCCCTCCCAGCCTGCAGTCTTGCTTGCAGAGCTGCTGTGTGCTCCAGAGATGCTGTTACTGCTTACCTCTTGCTCGCACTGCAATTTTCCCATCACCATCAGCACTTGTCTGCTGTTTAAGGTGTAAGTGCTTTTACAAGGTTTGCTCTAAAGACTCCTCTTGCTATAACTTGGATTTAAAAAGGGAGAGAAAGGGTAACGAAAGCAAAGAGAGGGGAAAAACTTGGTAAGAAAGGCACAACTTACATAAGAGGTGCAAAAGCACTGCGGGGGCCCATGTGGTGGTGGTCCATGCAATGGATGTAACAGGAGCATCTTAAAGCTGCGGGACCTGGAGCATGTCTGCAACCCCTGGAAATCTCTGAAGAACAGTGAACTGCTTGCAAACAGAGCTTGTTTTTATTTTCAGGCTGGTTTTGTAGCCACTTCGTGCTTCAACGCTAGTGAAAGGTTGGGTCGTTTTGAACTCATACGCGATGTCCTTTTTGGATCTTGCAGGTTGCAGACATCAAACGCGTCAACAACTTTATCAGGGAGCAGGACCTGTACGCTTTGAAGTCCATCAAGATCCCTGTGAAGACCCACGGGCTGCTGACAGAGAGCAGCAAGGAGCTGAGGCCGCTCCCGGCTGCGCGCTCCCAGAGCGGCGCGGTGCTGGTGGACGTGCCGGAGCCTGGCGCTGGCGGCAGCGGCTGTGCTGAGAGCGGGCAGCTCGTGGATTATTTCAAAGGCATCGACAAGAGCATCCAGGACGCCGTGCAGGCGGAGGCGCAGCTGAGTGCTGAGCTCTGCGTGGAGCCGCCGGAGAGGCCGCTGGCCGAGCCGGGGAAGCGGGAGAGCAGTAATGGTGCGGACTGTGGAATCCAGTGGTGGAATGCAGTTTTTATTATGCTCTTGGTAGGAATTGTCTTGCCGGTATTTTATATCATCTATTTTAAAACGCAAGAGAATGGCCCGGCGCCCCACACCTCCAACACAACAGCAACCTCAAATATTTCGACAGATGGATTGGAAGGGAAATTACTACAAAGCTCAGTTGTAGAAAAAAATGCTGGGGGGGAGACACAGCCAAATACAGCCTCACCTCCCAGCACGGGCGCCCATAAGACAGTGACTCTGACTCGAGTGCAATCAGGGGGATAACACTACAGATATTATTTTTTTTTAAAGTAGTCAATGTAGTTCTGAGCTTGACTGAACTGGAGATGCGATTTTATGGAAGAATAAGGATGCTCTGTTGCTTGTGAAGACCAGCAGGCAACTGGCTTAACATTTGTGAACTCTGATGAGGGAAAGTATTTTGAAGCAGTTTGCTCTTCTTGCTTGCTTCAGGTATTTCTTAAGAGTGGTTTTGTCTAAGAAGCTGAACCCTTTACTTCTGTGACAGAGTGCAGTATTGGTGTGATTGGAAAGCTGGGGGCTGTTTGTTTTTGTTTTTTTTTTTTAAGAAAATACGTTTTGCTTGGAGTAGAGGTGAGGACTCATCTTTTTCAATGAACTGTCATTTTTCTGTCTTGCAGAGCGTGGCAGCCTTGGCAGGCCTAACCCAAAAAGCAGTGGCTTTTAATTGGTTGGCTGGGGTGTGGCACAGCACAGGGACACCTGTAGCACCTCACCACTACATCTTGCACGCGATGGTTAAGCAGTGGATGGTTTGAATCCTGCAGTGGGGTGGGTGAGGCCAGAGCTTTTGTCCTGGTGGAAGTCCTTCAGAGGCTTCCTGCCAATGTCCGTGCAGGCAGAGCTCATTGAGAGCCCTTGTTCTGTCAGGGTTTTGTCAGTGCTGCAGCGGGCTGGCAGCAGACGTCCACAATATTGTCAGGAGATGGCGAGAACAGAGTAAGGCTTGTGGGATGCTGTGCTCTTCTCAAGGGTTTATTTGGTGTGGGGAAGTCTAGCTGTTACCTGCTTTTGGTTTAAATCCACAGTGGTGCATCTCAGATGTCACATCGCAGTCGAGGACTTGAGTTTCCTTGTTTGTACTCTTCAAATGAGAGTGCTGCTGAGTTCACCTACAAACACCCACAAAGAAGCCCAACGTTGTGTCAGGTAGTCACAGAAAGGTGAATCAGATGCTTTATAGATGGGGACTGGGAAGCTGCTGTATGCTGAACAGTCCTGTCCACTCTGAGTAAATAGGGGGGGTGAATGGAGGTTTGCGTGGCTGAGCTGTATTGTAAGCCTGATACGTGTGCTGTGTCAGTGAACACTACATGCTGGAAGTGAGGAGCAGTGAGGCTTTGGGAGAGAGTTTTGCTGCAGAGAATTGTCCTCAGAACTTTTTATTCAACAAATTCAGGGACTGCAGACAGAGGTAAGCTCTCCTAGAGCTAAATGCTGAGGTACTGCTGTGGCACAGTTGCATGAAATCCCCAGGGAGGGGATCCAGGCTGTAACTCAGCAGCAGCCAGCTGGTTGTGTCATGGGGAGCCTTGGGGCTGTTTGCACAGAGCTGAGCTCCTGCAGGGGAGGCAGAGCTGGTGAGCAGGCACACAGCGTGGCAGTTTGTCTTTGCCCCGCACTGCAGCCTTCCCACCATTTACTGTGTTCCCAGCAAGCTCGAGAAGATGCCTGCAGAAAAAAAGCACAGAGTCCATTTGTGGCAAGCTGCGGAGTCAGACCTGAGCTGCTTGCCTGCTGCAGGCCTTGCAGCAGAGGGCACTGCTGCCTGGGAGCTGTGGAGGGTCTGTCACAGCAAGGGCAGCATTTTTAGGGACCCTGGCTGCGTTGTTGGGCTCTGATGCTGAACCTAATGTCTGTGCATGAACCATGTGCAAGTTGGTTTGGGTTTGTTGGTTGTTTTTCGTGCTGTTTTTTTTTGTTTGTTTGTTTGTTTTCAAAGCCTTTCTTTTGCTGCCTAAAACTGATCAGAAGTGAAGAAGCTGGGTGAGGGGAGCAGCCTTGTGGCACCTTCTGCACAGCACAAAAGGTGTGGGGGGAAAAGAGCGTTACGCGAAGCAGAGCCCTGTGGTTACACCTGTGGTGTTACACCTGCACCGTGGGGCTCCTGCAGCCTTAAAAAGGGCTTAGGAAAGCCTGGGCAAACCTAGGTTGTGAATGAGGGACCTAGAGTGTCTTGTAATGGGGAAAAGAAGGCTCGTATTTTCTTCTGTGAAGGAAAGGTATCCCTTGTGGTTGGGAAGAGGGGAATCGCTACATTTCTAAATCAAGTGAAATGAAATAAAAGCACAAGGGGCACTTACCCACCCCAGACTGCGTGTTGGGTGTTTTTCAGTTTGTTGTCTGTGTGGCGGACAAGCTTTGTTTAGGAAGATGTGTTTTGCAGCAGTAGTGCGGAGCGCTGCAAAATGTAAGCATTCCCAACGTGTGGTGGTGTCACGTTTGTTTTGTGCCACAGCATTTGTTTTGCAGAGGCCGGGCAGCAGCGCTGTGACACGGGCTGCTCACAGCACACAGAACAGAGCGGGGGGTGATGCTGCTGAGGGGCCGTGGGACACGGAGCACAGCAGTGCTGCAGCAGGGAGCGCCAGCGGAGAGGGGCAGGAGGCCGTAAGTACGACCTTGCCTTCTGTTGTTCTGTTCTCTAAGTGCTTTATAACCTTAGAGCGCTTCCGTTAAGTCAGCTGTGGGTACAGCTTGGTAGTGGTACTTCAGGACCCAACCTGATGAGGGTGTTGGGTACTGTGGGGGCAGGAGGGCACGAGTGGGCAGATGTGCTCTGCAAATACGACAGAGGCTGGAGTACACAGTAAAAGCCAGTATCTTTACTTTAGTGAATGCAGGATACAAATATTTTACAACAACCTCTAGCATTTTTCTTAACCATTTGATAAAAAGTTCACTAGAATATTTATTGTATATTGAAGAAAAAACAACACATTCAGGGAAAAAATTGAGATTAACTTATTTTTTTCTTAAAAGATTCGTCTCAAGGATGGCAACAAAGTCCAGCTTGTGCCGCCAAACGGCTTATCATCATTAAACCGTGAACAGCTTCTTTGTGAACTGTTGACTACAAACATTTACCAAATACATAAATCTCTTTTAAAAAAGCCATTTTAAATATAGCAAAGCAGTGTTCTCTTGCACAGCAAAGTGAAGAAAGTTTCTACTAAGATTTAAACGTTTACATTGAAGTCTTTCTTTCACATTCTAATTTAACTTCTTCCCGTGATGGATTGTTAGGAGTTGTTATGTTCCTTATTTACTATGTATTTCTTGTGCGCACAGCAATTCGCAAGGTTGGGATGCTTTAGTGTCCTTGGAGTGAAAGGAAAGGCTGAAGCGTTGTTCTGACAAATCCCTGACGGGGATTTTCAAATACATGTGAATTTAAATACTACAGTGAGAGCTCAGAGATGGAGAGGTGATTTGTCACAACAGAAGATCAGATAGAAATCTGAAGTCACTCAGGCTTCAATGGGTTCAAACTAGGATTGGATTCACTTGAAACTTCAATATATTTACTTAGTTAAAAAAAGTATTTTTCACCTGTTGAAATATCTGTGCTATGTCTTTTTCTCATTATAAAACATCTTTACAATTCCTAAAAAAGTATGTTCCAAAGTTAGTTACCTGTTATTAAAAACCAGGCTTCCCATTTATTCAGTGGCGTGAGGTTCTCCCGCTAGGAGAGAACGTGGCCAAAGTCTCCTGCTGAGTCTGTGGGAGGGGATGGGGCACAGGGCAACACCAGAACAGTCCCATGAGCAGTTCCTAGGAACTTACGTGGTGGTTTTTTAATTCGTAGGTGCAATTTCAATACAAACTCTAACCCTTATGTAGCTTTTTCTTTAAGAAAACAGTAATAGCACTGTTTACAAACCTGCATAGAAATAAAGACTATTGAGATACAGTCAGCAAAGCCATCTCGTAAGGCACACAAGAAAATAGACAGTAAATGTGAATGCAGAACTCCCACTCAGATGTACAGCAAAGTTCATATATGTGCATAAATAATGAAAAAACCACATAACTTCTCCAAGCATCAAAAGGCTCTCTGCAGTGGTCAGTGAATTCGGTCACTTGGGAAATAAACGAGCTGCTGTGAGAAAAGTCTGCCTTTCCTGCAGGCTCCTGCACCTGGGAACTGCAGGACATCACAGCTCAGCCGTGACCCAGGCTGCAGGGGCTCAGGAGTGGCCGTGACAGCAGCAGAGCCGCAGGCACCAGCCTGGTTCTGCAGCCGCACGTCAAAGCCAGCAGCCATGAAGGCGCTGGAGCTGCCCCCACTGCATCACACGGGATTTTTGCTTCTCACACTTCTTAGCTAAAATATCAATTAATTTTTTGAAATCTGGCAAAATTATGTTATAAACAGCAGGGATTACTTACAGGGCTTTCAGTAACAAAACAGCACTGTTGTCTTTCTCTTTTTTTTTTTCCTCAGAACTACCAGCAGTGATTCATTAAGAATTCATTAAGGTCTACTTAATTTGGTTCCCAGAATAAAAGAACACGCAGGAAGGTGATCTGCATGGAGCCAGAGGTGGGAAGGAGGTGCCTCCAAGGCAGCAGCGCTCCTGGAGCAGTGCTGGTTCCCCTGCAGGTGGCTGCTCCCAGCTCCTGCAGTTTGCTGCTGCTCAGGTGCAGCCTTTCCCAGGAGCTGCTGCTGCCCTTCCCTCCCCACAGCTCCATGCAGAGCAAGCCTTGGCCCTGCTGTGCCTCGGGGAAGCAGCAAAGAGGCTCTGCCTGTTTCCTTCCGAAGCCCCTTTATCCCAAACCACTTACCACTTCAGAAACCCTTTGTGCTCATCTGATATGTGTTATTTCCCTATCAGGAGAAATTAGGTCAAGCTTTTTCCACTGGTTTTTGTTTTTTTTCCTCCTCAGAAGAGGCAGTTTTGAAACGATGCCTCAAGATGTGTTGTAGCAGATTTTTGTATATTTATGCAGGATGAACTTAACGCCGGATTTTTTTTTTTTGCCACTTTGCTATTTATATACATATATATAAAATGTATAATGAAGCTTAACCATACAGCACAGAGATTACAATTGAACGGCACACATTCACCACCAGTGAGGGGGACAAACCCCTTTATACACCCTCTGAAAAATCTGGATAATAATATTAATAATAATTAAAATCCAAAGAAAGTACAGTATATTTAACAAAATAGTAAATATTAAACAGTGAATACTCTACTTAATAAGGACCTCGCCTTTCTCAAGTCGGCGTCAATCCACAAAAATATACTTTTTAATCTGGTGAACGTACAATACATAGGTACTTACACCAAAGGTGATAATATATTTAAGATGCTATATACACAAAGAGTTTGGCTCAAATTTAAATTTACATATAAGTGTTCATGGCTTATTTTTCCCCCAAGGTTCCGCCTGCAAGTTTTTCCTTTTCATCTTTGAAAGCAAAAACTAGAAAGTCAAAATAAGATAAAACTATACTCTACAAAAAAGCTACAACATACAGCTTTGGCTTATATAAATAATTCATAGCAGAATGTGTTCAAAAGTACTGTATATAACTTTATATATAGTCTTCAATTCATTAGGGTATTGTTTTCTTTAATATAAAATATACATGAGCTAAAATCCGTTTCTATATTTTTCAAAGGTATGAACGTAAAAACAAATTTGTCAAACATATTCCAATTATAACTTAATATATTAATTTTATTTTGTTAATGTTCTATTTTCTAGGCTAATATTTTCGGAATATTTCATGCGAGTTCTCTATGTCTCTCTCTCACTTGTTAAAAAAATCACTTCTTTGACCCAATACACTTTTTTTTTTGCACGTGCAAAACAGGTTTTTGTTTTTTTATTTTCTCTAGCATCAGCCCTTCTCCATGCACCCTCTGCAATAGAGACCCATGCCAGGTGGGGTATTATAAAGGTCATTTTATGTACAGTATTGCTTTCTTCTTCCTGCTTTTCTACTGCTCTGCTGCTACAAAGCATTATTTCTTAACTACAAGTAACCATACAGCTTTAATAAAACACACAGGGACGTTACTACAGGCGAGCCCTCTTGGTTTCTGCAATCTAGTGTGGTAGGATTATAATACGGGTACAATGTTTCTTTGCAAAACAGGCTATATCATTAAAACAACAAGTCCAGGTAAGTGCCAGACTAGATCAATACCTACAGGATTGTTCTGTTACGTTTTACCATGGGACATCTGCAGCTATACAAGAAGTTTGTAATAAGTGCCTGATGATTCTGTGTATGCTACACACACTAGCACATATATATGCATGTGAAGATATATATATGCACGTATGTATATACATATAAATATACTTATTTCATGTCCTTATTTATAAATTTAGATATGTCAGGACAGTTCATTTTGAGAACACAAAACTGGAGAGGCAACACTGCGAGTTTATGTCACCCACGTGTCCATCCTCATTCGTTTTACTGACGGACTCTCTCTATCTTCTGAATTCGGCGGCCTTCCCAGCACCACGGGAGAGTGGAAGTCGCTGCGAGGGTCCTCGCGGTCGCTGCCATCGTAGGAGCTGCTGGAGCTGCTGAGGCTGTCGACAGGAGAGCGGCCCAACTCCTGGCGCTGCGGCGGCTGCTGCGGGGGCTGCGGGGGCTGCGGCTGCTGCGGGGGCTGCTGCTGCGGGAACCCCGAGGGAGTGACGCGGTCCCGGGGAGGTGAAATGGGCTCCGATTTGATGTTGATGTTTTGGTTGGTGTTAATGGATAAATTTGAACCCTGAGATATCTGGCTGCCAGTACTGGGAAAAAGAAAACCGAAAGGAGGAAATAAGAAAACATGAGAATGGGAAGGAAAGCGACAGTTCATGCACCTGCCGCGTGGTTCGGCATCCTTGAAGTAAGCATGTAAATAAATGCCACTTCCTGACGTGAAAGAAAGCATCGATTAAAGATCCCAAGTACTTCTATAGATGTTAAAACACAAAGGGCAATAGGCAGCCATTCCAAACACCGAGTTAATCGTGTTGGTGACTTCAGCAAGGAGGTGGGCCTGCAGAGATACAGCAGGTCAGCTTCAGGACCGAGCAAAGGGCCACAAAGGATACATACAGTACAACATGGGCACAGAAGTGCTGCCAGCGGGCCAACTGGAAAAGCAATGTACGCATTGGGGCAGAAAAGAAAGCAAAATGTTTTGTGTTGTATATTTCCCAGTGCAGATCATTCACCTTGAAGTGCCCCGCCATGCAGCACTGCGCTATTACAAATCTACTTACACGAGAGAGCTGAGGGTTGCTGGACCGAGATGGTGCTGCTGCCAGGCAGATACCTGCCCTAA